TAGAAACCTTCTCAAAGATGAAAAAGCAAGGGTCTTAAATATACACACTGTCATCAAATTTATTAGCTCTGTAGTTAATTTATAGTGCCCAGTGCTGATATTGTGCAAAAACATTAAAAATCACTCCGCTCCTAAATTAAAAATTTGCGATTTTCGAAGTAACACTAGAAATCAAGGCATACCTACATGAAGATTAAAGAATTGGTTTTTCTAATACGCAGATTTTATTGTATTATTATGATAATGATGCCATTTATTTAAGAGCAAATATAGCGAGTTACCACTTACATCAATAAGGAAATGCAATGTAATGATGTGTGATGATGACAAATATGATTACGGTTCGTTACTTTATTATAGTCAGTTATAGAACACAACACGTACATCTCTTTGTATCATCCAATGTTACAGTCTCTAAAGAAATTCGATTTCTATTGAAAGTAGGACTCTGGTGATTGAGCACAAACATTTTACTTTAAAATTCAACTGGTTCTTTGTCCTTCTTGGGGTGGGGTAAAAAACAGTCCCTGTTGTGCTTCTAAGATCTTTCTGAGGAAATTTTCTGTCTCAAAAATCGAGGACCTTCCTGAACACGGCAGACTGCAGAGCGTGCATTATCCTCAAGCTGGTGAATAGGACAGATTTTTCTCCCTAAACGTCCCTTCTGCTCTCTAGTTTGAATTATCAATAAAACGGCTTGGCTTATCTCTGAAAATAACCTTGGTGACAACACAAATATGGACTTAAACACGCTACCTCCACATTTAAGATTTAAGAAGCCCCCAGTAAATGTCAGGGGGTGTCAGTGTGTTTGCTGTGATACTTGGTTATTATTAGTGTTTAACGGCATTTCCCCACCAGCGCCACGCTGCCAGCACCACCATAAATTTTAATGTGATCATGTGCTCTCCTCTTTTCATATCCAGTGAATTCTGCAAGATCATAATATTCTATATGAACCCTGGCTGAACCTTGGTGTGATATGAAGAAAGAGCAAGATTTCTAGCAGTGATAGTTGTTCATCATTTTATAGTTGTTGTTTTTTTTTAAAAAAAAAACAACAACAAAAACGGACACTGAGCAGCATGGTTCCCTTAAAAATATTACCTTAAACTAAATCCACTCATTCAATGAATCTTTATTGAGCCCTATAGGATGCAGGGCATGGCCCAACGTGCTAATGAGTACATTTATGGGATAGTAAAGAATACTGACTCTTAAGGAAACCTTTTTTTTTCCCCCCGGAAAATCTGTCAGTGCTCATACATCATTTATAAAACCAAGAAATGTCTCTGCAACCTTGGCACCACTACATGCCTTTTATTTTACAGAACACAAACAAAAGCATAGTTGTTTTCTTTATCTGGTCTATGTTGTGAATATAAGAAATGTGCTTATCATCTTTCATTATGTGTGTGCTTGATGGAATATTTATTCTACAAGCTTCCATTAAAAAAGAGAATCTGTATAATTATTCTTGATCTGCAGGCTTTTATTCCTTGTTTTAACCACAAATAGAAACTAGCACTGCATATTGTATTTATCCGAGGAATTAAAAAATATTTGGTAAATTTTAGCTATCTAAATATCTCTTTAGAAGCAAAGAACAATGTTGAAGCTTTTATTTAAAAAATCTAAAATTTCAGGCCAGTGGCATGGAATAAATGGGTAAGTCATTAACAAGGTTCCCAGTGAACTAAATTTCCATCATTTTAAATAAAATTGCCTATCCTTCAAAGCAGTTCATTCTTTTAAAAAAATTTCTAAAGGAACAAAACTGCTTTGTTACCTAGACATAAGGCTGGCTGCTTTTGCAAAACATAATTTCCAGTCAATACATTTATGTTCTGTGTTTGAAATAATTTTAATGTTAGGAAGCCAGTGCATATATTTATAACTTGTTTGTCCTGTTGTACACGGTGTCATAATTTGCTCAGCAATGACATACACCTATGTATTTTCCCATTCCCAGAGACAATGGGCTTAGAAACATAACACACCCACAGATGTAAAGTCACAGGGAAAGAGCCTTATTATTCATGCTAATGGCTCAGTGGGCAAGGCGACAGTCAGAATACAAACCTCGTCTGTCAGGAGGGGCAGTTTTTTGTACGGACTGGCTTTGTTGGTGTCTCTTTTAAGAAAAGAGTGTGGGGGAGTGTGCCTCAGTAGCTTCTGTCTTAGAAGAACACTTCCAGGCAAGGTTGAAAAGGTTTCCCCCCCTTTCCTGACAACTGGCTGAGAATCTTTGCCTTGGAGTGCCATCTAGAGGAAATTCCGGGCACATGTGTCGTGCTTTCTTGGCTTCGTGACAGGCTGAATCTAGTGGTTGGTGTATGGTGATATATGGTTTTTTTTATTATTAATAGATATTTTGGTTCTATCTAACACATAGAAATAGAATACGATATAACTAGAATGGAAGTAGAACCACTGATGAGCACAAAACAGTGAAATACCCTAATAGTCTTCAGGAGTACCCGAAACATTAGTGCCCATTCACGGAAAAAAGTGGTTCATCATTTTGCCATAGGCTGAGGTCGTACTCCAGAAATTAGAATTGATGCATGAATTAAATTCATGTTTTCCTTCTCTGATCAAGTAATCTTTGGTAACTGTATAATTATTTTCTTAGTTAAAAAATTCTGATTTACCAGATTGCCCATGGTCAAGTTGGAGACGAAACTGCTTGTTAGGGACAAAGGAAAGTTGACATTTTCAACCTATTGTAACTCTTGGTCAAGTTCAGCAAAATTTAATGAGCAGAAAATAATATCTTTTCCAGATGTGGCCACTCAATTCAATGTGAGGGAGGAAAACATAACATTGACCAATATATTTTTTCCAAAGTCATGTTTTTATTTTGCAGTCTCCGCACCCCACCACCTCCAAGAGTACTTTCACAGTGAAAAATTCTTTGGAGAAGAATTAATACAAAACCAGAACCCACATCTTCTTAAGCAGTGATACTCTCCAAGGTTGCTTAGCAGACTTGCGAAAGTAATTAGACCCTTGAAATATTCTGGTATTGAGTACCCCCATTGTGGTGACATAGTTTGCGAGTCCTGCTTTCTTCAATTTCTTGAAAGGATCAAGATTGTCCGTGTTATGGAAACATTTACTGAGGACAATGGGGTATGCATTTCCTTTTATTCCTAAGTGTCCGCCTTCATCCTGCCGTTCTTGCCAGCTTTTCCCATCCCAACTATTTTAAGGCTTGTCATAAAAGTCTGTTTCTGTCTTTGATATCTCTAACTCACAGTGTCATGGCCAATCCTTTTTCTTCGTTGAGAAAGGTTCCTGCTTACTTATTTTGGCAATTTGTCATAAATCCATAGGTTCTCCAAAATAATAGGTTAATAATTTCTTTATCAAATGTCCTCTGTGTGCCAGACACATGAATGCTGCACAGAGAAAATTATTCCTTGTCTCCTGAGATCTGATATGAAAAAGCAAGATGAAAGTGGTTATTTCTTTCTTTATTTTCTGGCAACATCGGCACTTGAGCAATTAAGGCTCCCAGTGCAAAGCGTCTCCCTTCCTCACTTGCCTGGCCACTGCTTTCATGGTGTATGTTACTGCGGGACAGGGCCAGTCCAGTTTTTCTGGGCTCGCCTGCTTGCTCCCTTAAGCAGTTGAGGATTCAAAAAAACCCCCAAGTCCTTGAGTATAACAGTGAAGACACTATGGTCCCATATTCTTTGCTACATGCACCTTAGAGTTCAAGTCAGTCCAACATGTACTGGTTGAAAACCTACCAAGCGCATGGATGTTGAGCAAATACGTGAAGGTTATTGAAAGAACAAGAAATGATCTCTTCAGCCTCAAGCAGCCTACTCTATAGGAAAATGAGAGACTGTAACTTAACATACATGGCAGAAAGAAAGATGTGTTGTACCTGACACCGTGCAGAGAAATAAGTAATTATTGATGCTTGGGGAGAAAAGGGAAGAGTTAGTGGAAAAACTGGCATTAGATCAATGCCTTAAAGGATGAGTAAAATTTTAATAGGTAGAGAATTTCAGGAGGAGGGAGCAGAAGAGTCTTCATTCATTTGGACCAAAGAAAAATGTATGTCATTTGGAGTTCCCTATTTTGGGTTTAATTTTTAATCTGGGTGAAGAGATATAAGGTATTTAGATTTATGTTATGAGAATCCAAAACTTGTGTTCTCTTTTTTTTTTTGTATGATAAATATGTTTACACACATATATACCCACATATATGTATACATCTGTGTGAATATATAACCATGAGGCTAATAAAAATCAATAAATTTAAGCCAGGAAAGATTTTACTAGATGATAGTTTAACCATCTAAGTGCAAATAAGGCCAAAAACAAGCCTTATTTCTTGCCAGCAAGTGGAGATAAATAGAGGATTTTGTTTCAATCTTTGCCACAACATTTGCTTTTAGATTAAATTCCAAGGCTTATCTCTGGCCAGCTGCCCTAGCTATCCCCATAACAAAGATCGGCCATCTTCACTCGGTTACAGCCCCTGGAACAGAGACTTTAAGCCTGATGCACCCCTAAGCCCCGAGAGCATTCTCTTCCCTTGGCTTCCCTGGCATACTCCCAGAGAAGCATTCTCTCAGGACTCCTGTCTCCCTGTGGGTAATGTTCACACATGCCTACTTTGGCTTTTCACCAGCCTAGGCAGTCTTATCCAGTGATCTCTTGGTTCAGTTACTCAACCCCATATCCTCTGCAAAAAGATTACCTTGAAAAAAAATCTAAGCATATCTTTTGTAAAAAGAACCAGTTTCCCAAAATAAAACATTTAAAAGAGGCTCAGGCAATCATTCCAAGACTACACCTACTTCAAGATGTCAGTGGTGCTACAGCTTTAAAGTTTAGACATTGTCGTGAAATAACGAGGGTAGGTAAATTCCAACGTCAAATAAATTGCATGGCAATTTGTCACAGACACGGAAATGTGAAGAAGGCCTGTAGGACCACAATGCCAGATGAACTTCCACCAGCACTAAACACACTTACAGTTAGCATCGCAAACATCAGCTGGCACACGTTGAAGGCGTGTCTCCAGTTGTGGTACAGAACCATTCGATAATTTTTCCTCACTGTTAAAAGCCACCTACACAGTGTCTGAAATGGGAAGAGAAAGGTGAATCAGGCAGTTGTATGTCTCCAGTGGACCATTATCAAAGCGATGCCTTATATCTGAGGAACCCCCAATGATCAAAGTCCTTCCAGGAACATCTCATGTAATTTTTACAGTCATCTCATGAGGTGTGCAGAGAAAGTATTATCATCCCTAATTTGTATTTGGGGAACCTGAGGCTCTGAATGGCTACCATGTTGTCCCAGGTGCATTCCTGGAATCGCCTAAGACATAATATCTTACCTCATAGTCGATTTTAAATTTCTGTACCATCCCCAGCTCCATGAACATCCGAAGAGCAGCTGTGATCATGGCATCAACGTCGAGAGAAAAGTCATCAAAATGTATGTCATCGATGGCAAGTTCTGACACCAAAGGGATGTTGGCTGCCTACAAAAGCAAAAGGCATAAGTCAGGCCAAGTTCACCAGCTTTCCCAAACCCCTCATCTTGCTCTGCTCTCCTGCTTATCAGACATGCCACATAAATCAGACCTGACCTACACTTACACTCTGATACAGCTCAACTCTGAGCTGGAAATGTCTTTTGTTTCTGAACTGCAAATGCCCCAAGCAAATGAAGGGGGAAGGGAGAGGGAAGCTAATCTGAAGAGAAAATATACACACTGGATCTAGTCTGCAGAATTTAGAATACAAAGCTGTCTAGTCTGCTGAAACCACAGTCACACAATATATTCTGATGCATAGTACAGAGCACTAAATGCAAGAAACATCTGGGCAGCCAGCAGCTGTGAATTCTAATTGCTGCTATTCAGGAGAAGGACATGGGAATACACCATTTTGCCTTGTTTCTTGTATCCGTACATCCTGTAGCTGTGTACGTGCTCTTTGTTACACACATGTTCTGAATATTGAGAAGGATGGAAAGGATCGGACAACACATCTCTGGTGCAAAATATGTTTTCTTAATAAAACAAATATTTGGAGGGTTAGCGTAAGCATATGTTTCATTGAAGGAATAAATTTGCAGTATTGTTCAGCTTCATTCTGTATGAACATCAGACCATAATTACAATACTGGTCATATATATAGTCTCCCCTCCGTATCCTCAGAGGATTGGTTCCAAGACCCCAGTGGATACCGAAATCCACAGATGCTCATGTCCCTTAATTAAAATGTCATAGAATTTGCATATAACTTACCCACATCCTCCCTTACACTTTAAAACATCTCTAGATTACTTATAATATAATGTAATATAACTTAATGTAAATGCTATGTAAATAGTTGTGATACTGTATTGCTTAAGGGAATGACAAAAAGTCTGTACGTGTTCACTACAGATGCAGCCATTGTAGGTCTAACTACAATGCACATGTTGGCAACAATGTAACATTTAAAAAAAGTATTTTTGATCTGCCATTGGTTGAATCCTCTCAGATGTGTAACCTGTGGATACAGAGGGCCGACTGTATTTAGTATTTTCAAAACATTCATGGTAGGCAGCTGTTAATCAGTTGTCCTCTATAAATTTAAAGGGAAGAAAAAAAAATCTATGAGAATAATTTTTTTTGCTGATTTCATTGGGTTTACCATATCTTTTGGGCCACTCTTGGTAATGGAATCATTTCTATCCTTTCAGATTATCAAGGGCCATTCTGTATTCATATTCCCAGCCTATTCGCCAAGTGGAAATTACCCAGGCAGTAATTTACGAGTATACTCTGGAACTACTTTGGCTGAGCAACAAAATCTAACTCTGGTCACTCTAAACATCCCTGAAACCGCATAGTCAATCCTTTCTTCCCACCTCCATGCTCCTCCACAGAAGTTTACATCTCTAGGCTAAAATCCAAACACTGGTTAGTCCCTACAGCATGGAAGAACAATGAGCAAATACATAAATTACAGGACGAGTCACATTCTGCAGATTGTTTATTTTCATTAAAATTTAATTAGCTTATCCTTCAGTGAATCATTGTAATATATTAACATGTTTGTAGACTCTAGCTCCTTGGAATTAAAAGGTAAGGCTTCTGAAATTCAAACATATTGGTACTAGAAATATGTTCTTACTCAGGGTTTCTGGCCTTATGCTAAGCTCTTTACTACTTTGTTTTTTACTTTAAAAATATTTTAAAATCAAAGTTACATATGCACATAGTTTTAAGGGTAAATTAGGTCTTCAAGGCTACACACACACACACACACACACACACACACACACACACACACACACACACTAGCAAAACTCTTCTGGTACTAAAATTTTCCCTTACCAAGAGGTGACCACTTTCAAATCATCTAGATACTGGGTTTTTTTGTTTGTTTGTTTGGTTGGTTTTAGTATTTGGTAAAGCAGAATGCTTGTGACTTTATTTTTTGATCATTTTCTGTTCTAAGCATTTTCTATTAGCTTCCCAACATCGAAGATGCAGATTAAGCTGTCTTATGCTGTGTCTGTCAACCTCTGCTGCCTCATACACTAACCCGCCTCACTCCCCAATATAAAAAGACCATAACTTGGTTTAGAAAAATATTCAGGGTTAGGTTATCATGACTATGCAAAAGACATTCATACCTAAGTCATGTAATTTACTATGATTATTTTTCCTTTCTTTGACAGCACTTTGTATTCTGCAGAGTTAATAACTCTCTTCTTTAATGTGTGCTTAGTTTTCTATGTGCTTATCACTAATTCAACCCCTAAACTCTCCCCCAGTTATCTAAGCCTCATCTGAAAATGTTCAAATACTTTTGGGTATGCCATCAAATTTCATGAAGAAATCTCTCGTGGAACTTTCTGAGCTTCTGCAATTTAGATTGGCAGTCTTCAATGTCTGGTAGGTAGCTTTCATCCTAGGATGTTTTTCACCATAATTCTGGGGATGCCTTCATCGCTCTTTTATCCCACATCTTTCTCTTTTCCTGGTTTCTTTCCTCAGTTATGGTGAGATACATCCTCCAACAGCTTCCCAAAAAAATGTTAAAAAGTGTATGGTAGAAAAACTCATGAAACCTTGCATATCTTAAATTGTTTTCATACTATTGTCACATTTGATTGATAGTTTGTCTAGATACGGATTTCTAGGATGGAAATAATCCTGTCAGCATTTGGAAGGCTTTGCTCTTTTAGCTTTAGATGTTATGTTTGGACATCTAATAGTCAGAAGCTATTCAGAGTCCTAATCCTTTGAAAATGACTCCCTCTCCTGGACCATTTTTGTAGGATCTTCTTTTTGGCTTTCAGAGTTCTGAAATTTCATTAATATGTGCCTCAGTGTGAATTTATTTTCGACTATAATCCTAGGTACTTTGTGAGAACTTTAATCTGGAAAATTGTGTCCTTTAATTCTAGTAAAAAATTAAAAATACTCTTTTTGATAAAATCAAAGAAATCTTTCCCTCTTTTATTTTTTCTGGAATTCCTTTTATTGATCTTTGGACTGTTTTTTCTTATATTCCAATTATTTTTCTTTTTTGCTCTATTTTCTGGGAAGTATCCTCTCTCCTTATTCTTGATATTTAATATTATAGTTTTTATTTTTAAGGGTTCTTCTTTTCTTGTCTGGATATTCCTTTGTAATTTTTGTAAATAGCATCCTAATTTTGTTGCATGAATGCAATATCTTCTCTTACCTCTCTGGGGATGTTAATGATAATTTTACTTGACATTTTTTTTTCCCTTAATAATTGACCTCACTCCTTTCACTTTCTCTTAGTCCCTTTTTTTTTTTTTAATTCTGGTAAAAAGCACATAACCTAAATTCATCCTCTCAACAATTTTTAAGGGTACAGACAGTATTGTTAACTATGCGCACACAGTTGTATGACAGGTCGCTAGAACCTTTCATCTGGCATGACTGAAACACTGCGCCCAATGAACATTAACTCCTCATTCCCTCCTCCCCCCAGGGCCTTCACAATCACCATTCTACTTTCCTGTTCCTATGATTTTGACTACTTTAGATACCTCATATAAGTGGAATTATGCAGCATCTGTCTTTTTGTGATTGGTTTATTTCACTCAGTATAATGTCTTCAAGGTTCACCCATGTTGTACCATACGACAGTATTTCCTTTTTCCCCCTAAGGCTGAATAATATTCCATTGTATGTATATACTACATTTCTTCAAGCATTCATCTGTCAATGGTCTACTCTTTCTTAATTAGCTTATCCTTCAATAAGTCATTTTAATATAGTAGAGGCTTTAGAGGTACTAGAGGTTTTCCCTGGCTATGTGGGGATCTTTGGTTTTCCACTCCTGTTTAAAAGTGGGGTTTTAAAAGCTCCTATTAGAGCTTCCCCTGGAGGCTTCTCTGTAGGGGGCATCTGACCGTTTCCTTGGGAAGCCACCAAATGTGGTATCTTTAGATCTTTGCTCTGTAGCTACTCAGATTCCTCAGAGAAGAATCCTCTGGCTGACGCTGGTTGGGAAGGAGGATGAAGAAAGAAAGAACTCTTCATGCAATCCCCCCATACTCCTACCCTCAAGCTCCACACTAGTGTCCCCCTAACCTAAAGACATGCTGTTACACCCTCTTTAAAGGATAAGCCACCAGTCTTTATGGACTGGAGGAGTGAGAGAAAGTATCTGGAGATCTAACTGCTTCTTAGATTCTCTCTTTCCCTGTTTATAGCCTCACCATCATCCCCACTTCCAAAGGTACTTAATTAGTCAATTCCTGAGCTATTTGGGAGTAGAAGTGTGTGTTATAAATCTGTTCCCCTCTCAGTTTTTCCCATGGCTAGCTTATTTTGGCTTTCTTCAGTTTGCCAAATCACTTAATATTTGTCCATTAAATTACTTAATATTTATCCATTTCTTTGTCTTTGAGGATTTGTACCTTAAAAAATATCCCTTTATTGTTGTTTTAATGTGATTTGGGTAAGGAAGAAAAGAGAGTGTGTTTATCATCTTTATTTAAAAATTATGGAAAGTATTTTATTAAATGATGCCTTAAGTGACCAGCTAGGAGAATCAGAGGTAAGCTAGCTTTTGGTCTTTAGTCCTTTTGTTTCCATGTGCATGGGCCTGGCTGCAACCATGTAGGCCTCTTTCTCTTGTTATGAGTCCCTATGGGTTCACTTGTGTCAATCCTGACCTCGCTTATTAGGCTGTAACAATCTTAGAGGCAGATGCCATATTTCTTTCTCTTCAGGAAGCTCTGAAACAACTCTACTTTCATCACATGTTTCAGGGCTTTGCATACAGAGAATGCCATGCACTTGGAGTGATCTGTGCTTGTTGTAATTGTTCACATTCAAACTCAAATATAACTGGAAGACCACTTCCCAAAGGGTAGAAGCCCTGTCTCAGAAGATACAAGTCCTCCTGGTCCTAGGAGAAGAGACTGGTTCTGAATTGGCAAAGGAGGTCTAACTCTCCATCACCTAGAAGCAGAAGTAGCGATGGAAACAGCATTGC